CTTCTTCCACCGGAGATGTTACTTCTGCTAACACTCTAATAAAGGGGAAGCCCCTCCAGCTCAGGCGAAAAGTTCTTCTCTGCTCAGCCTTGCTTAGCCCTTCTTAGGAAGCCTGTCAGCGAATGAAAATCTTCACCCAAGACTCTTTTGAGAGAAAGTTTTTTTGGAGGGAGTAGTCCAGGAGAGTGGCTGCCTCTGTCAGGGAAGTAAACGGCAGTCTGCTACTGAACAGGCAGAGAGGCTTATACAGGGCTTCTTAGGGGTGGAGTTTTTCCAGGGAGAAGAGGGATTGGTTAGTTTTCCTTGCTCAGGGATTGGTTAGTTTAGTTGGTCGGGGCAGAAATGGCTCTGATCACAGGGTCAAACAGTGTTTCTTTCGCTGGTTCTTTTTAACGTTTTGGCTCTAATCTTCAGACCAGGACGTGTTTCTTTCACTGACTCTGATTCTAGGGACAAAGTGTGTTTCTTTGGCACTGGTTTCAGAGTCAGGGCATGGTTTTTATTAGTCCTGAGTCTGGTCTGTTGCTCTCCAAGGAGCCAGGGCTGGCTGGCCAGTGAGTCTCCAACTTCCCAGAGCTGGGATTCCATGTCACACTGCCAAGCTGGCTTTCTTGATAAGTTCTGAGGGACTGAACTCACGGCTTCCTGTTTGCAAGGCAAAAAATTTTACTGACTGAGCTGTCTCCCCAGCCCCTTTAACAGTTTTTTTAAAAAAAAACAAAAAACTTCTTTATTGATTCTTTGGGAGTTTCACATCATGCACCCCAATTCTGCTCACCTCCTTGTTCCCCTATATCCTCCCCTCACCCCTGTAGAGCACCCCCACAAAAGAAAACAAAACAAAGCAAGCAAACAAAACAAAACCAACAATAAAAACCCAAAAACAAAACCTCTTCACTTTTCCTTCTCTCCCACCTCTCCAACACCTCTTCATTCTTCCTGCTCCTTTTTCATATTTCAAAATGACACCGTGGTCATTCTACATCAACAGCAGATGCAGACGGACTGGACACTAAGAAGCATCATCATCACCACTGTGTGCATGCTCACATCCAAAACAAGAAATGCACAATGAACTGCTAGTATGAAGAGCCTATGAAAACTACGTCAGCAGGGATGGGGTGTGCTCAGTGGCAGGGCACTTGCCTACAGGGCACAAGGCCCTGTGTTTGATCCCAACACTGCTGATGGGCAGAAATGCATCTCCACAACCCCACCTGTCCTCACCTGGACAGTTTACAGCGACTACCCATTGTAGAGACTAGACAGGATGATCTTTTTTTTTTAAAAAAAAAAAATCACAACTCTCATCTTTATTTCTTAAAATTTATTTCTATTTTATGTGAATTGGTGTTTAGCACGAGAGGGTAATGGGGAGAAAGACAAATAGGTTTTCCCACTTATGACTCTAGATTTACATGTGAAAAGGATGAACTGAGGGCTGGAGAGATGGCTCAGAGGTTGAGAGCACTGACTGCTCTTCCGGAGGTTCTGAGTTCAATTCCCAGCAATCACATGGTGGCTCACAGTCATCTGTAATGAGATCTGGAGCCCTCTTCCAGCATGGAGGTGTACATGCAGAAGGAACACTACATAATAAACAGATCTCTAGAAGGAAAAAAAAGATGAACTATTTGATGAGGCAGGAGGAGGCAAGACAAGGTGTGAAGGACTGAATAGGAGCAAAGTACACTGAGGTACTGTATCAAATGTCATGATCAAATCTACCACCTTAAAAACATATGTTAATAAATAATACAAATCTTACAAGGAGCAGGGTGATGGTAGCACACTCTTTTAATCTTAGCACTGAGACAGAAGCAGGTGGATCTCTGAGTTTGAAGCCAGCCTGGTCTACAGAGAGAGTTCTAGGATAGCCAGGGCTACACAGAGAAATCCTGTCTCAAAAAATAGGGATTGAAAAGATGGCTCAAGGATTAAGATGACCTGAGCTCTATTTCCAGCATTCTATGTTCACAAGCCCATGGTCACAGCCATCTGTAACTTAGTGCAGGGGATCCAGCGCCCTCTTCTGGCCTCCTCAGATACTGTACACACATGGTACACAAACATACATACAGGCAAACATTCATACATATAAAACAAAAATCTTAAAAAAATTTACTAAGTTAACTCTTTAAGAAAGCTGTCATCTAACATCCACAGTACAGCCTATTTAAAGAAATAATAGGCAGGATTGGTCTTTATAGAATCCAGAACTCAAAGGAGAAAAATGCTTTGGTTCAGCAGTATAGGAAAGGTGGGCTGTCTCACATCTCCTGAATCAGTTGTCATGGGAGAGGAACATGTTTCCAGGATGACCACCCAACACCCAAATCATAATGTACAACCACTCATGAACTTTATTCTCCATCTTTTCATCCATCTCTCTACGACATTATTGTAGCTCAATGGCTTGTTACCTGTGATCAAAGCCCAAAAATATCAATGTCTTGCAGAGACCCAGTCACGACTTTATTACAAGACACTGAGGCAATTGCTTTAGCTTATTATCAGCTATTATCTATAACAGCTATTACTGTTTACCTTTTACTTTATAGATTATCAATTTTATTATTTATACCTTGTAAATTAATAGCCATTTAATTTATAAATTAATTACCATAGGCATAGGTTTGAGAGAAAATAAGAGTTAGGTAATAGTCACATTTTCAGGCATCCAATAGAGGACCCAGGAAGTCTAGATGAGCTTGAAAACAAGTGGAGGTTGCATTGGGTTCAGTGTTCTAAAGAAATGCTTGTGTATCAGCCTGAGCTATGCAAGAGTGGGAGAGAAGGGACAGGAGGGGGGAAAGGAGGGAGACGGAGAAATTCCCCTCCTTTCAGGTTCTGGATTATCTGAATTCAGTAGACCACACTAGAGTCTTGCAATCTACTTTAGAAACTAACCCAGGGCTAACAAGATGGCTCCTCAGATCAAGATGGTTGTCACCAAGACGACCTGAAGTACAATCCCAGGGACCCAAATGGTAGGAGAGGACCAACGCCTACAAGCTGACCTCTGACCTTCACATAGATGCTGTGGTCCACACATAATAAATAGTCATACATTTAAAAGGTACTTTTATTGAGACCTTCATACAGTATATTTTGATCAACTTCAACACCCCCAAACTCCTCCCCAGAACTATTGCCTCCACCCTTACCTCCCTGCCCAACCAATTTCAGGCTTTTTTTGTTTGCTTTTAAAACCTTGGAGTTCAATTTGTGCTGCTCAGCTACTCTTGGGAGTAGGGCCTGACCTGCCGTGTGGTGGTCCTAGCAGGGATCACATGTTTAAAGAAACGCAATCCTTTTCCCAGCAGCTACCAAGTGGCACTAGCTCCTGAGCTAGTGGTGAGATCGTGCCCACACCCTGCCTACCTCCAACCAGGATCTTGTCTGACTTGAGCTTGCACAATCCCGTGCATGTTTCAGGGTTCATGTGCCAACTGAGCTGTTGGGTCTAGAAACAGTTTCCGTGAAGTTGCCAGAGGTAGTCAGCATGACCCCCAGTGAAAATAAAGTGTGGGGGGACCACAGATACCCACCTACTACACAGGAACTGATTAGAAGGCAGCAAGCATATTTATAGTTTTGAAGGCATCAGTGAACATGGTGTCCAAAGGAAATGCGGTTTGCCAAAGCCCAATTTCATGGGTTAAAATCCCAACTCTTGTTGCACCCGTATTTTGTATGCTTCTCCTTTATCCCTAGTGTTATGAATTTTAATCAAATACTGATACTGTGATCAAAGCTTGGAGTCCTCCCTACCCCAACCTCAATCCCGAGGGGGAGGGGCTGTGAGTTAATAATGAGCTTCCATGGAAACCCCTCGGGAGCTACGATGCTCGCAGCCTCTTCTACCTGGCTGTGCATATGTCTGTAAGGATACCCTTGTCAACAAATGGCAGTGTAGTGAGCTATGCTCACAAACCACTGAACTGATTCAATGAGGGGGCATAGGAAACCACCCGTAACCAGTCTGTCACTAGCACAACTCACAACAGAGAACTCAGGACCAATGCCTGAGTCCTGCCTTGGGGGTAGTGCTCTAGGGCAGAACCCTACCTGGCTCTAACTCCAGTAGACAGTCAAAACTGTGCAGCAACAGGAGAGCCAGTGTCTGCTGGAGAATCACTCACTGCTGCAAGTACTGAGTGGTATACAGAGCCCTTTCCAGCAGACCTGGAAGCTTCCTGTGCAGGACCTGGAATGTGAAGCAGCAGACTGGTAGCAACGAGAACATTAAACTGTTCTCCAACATCATCAGAGGGCATCTAAGAGGAAAACTGCAGAGGGATGTGCAAATCTCAAGGAACCCAAATGATTTCCCAACTACAAACAAGCACCGTGGGCTCTAGATTAGGAAGCACCAGTAGATTTTGCTTCTCAGCTTTAGGCTGTTCATTAGTAGCTTTCTTAGGACACTGAAGGCTATTTTAATATAAATGAGTCTCACACTACAGCGGGGAGACAGGAGGTGGGGGTGGTGCCCACCCTGCATTGAGAAGGCAGGTGGATCTTTGAGTTCAAGGCCAGCCTGGTCTACAGAGTGAGTTCCAGGACAGCCAGAGCTACACAGAGAAACCTTGTCTTGGAAAACAAAACAACACTAAATAAAAACCAAGAAATCCTTAGTCAGGTGTGATGGTGCATGCCTTTAATCCCAGCACCTGGGAGGCAGAGACTGGAGGATCCCTGTGAGCTTGAGGCTAGTCTGGTCTACACAGTGAGTTCCAAGTTAGCCTGAGCTAGATGATAACAGAGACCCTGTCTCAAAACAAAAACAACCCAAAAACAAAACCCCCTAAAGATAGTTATCTAAAATCAAGTTTACAAAAGAGGAGAAAGCAGGCTGAGCTGTGAACTGTGGAATTTCTAATGTTTAGTAGAAACATATTCAGAACCCAGGAACCTGGGCTTTGCTGTAACCTCATAGCTCAGAAACCACCTCTTGGCTTTACTCACGACCCAAAACTAAAGACCCACACACACACTTCCAAGTGACCAAGCGGTCTCGTCAGTACTTTAATGTTGTGTATGCCAGACTGTAGCGGAGGCAGCTACAGGTGCACTTCTGTGTTCCTGCGCGGCACCTGCATCACAGCAAGCCCAGCTTGTGTTCCACCATCAGGTGTGGCTCGCCCATCAGCTCACTCTGTGACGGATCTGGAGGGAAACAGAAACAGGCACAGGAATGACTCTTCAGACACAGACAGTAAGTTCAGGGGTCATCGTATGAGAACCTGACTCAAGAAAAGGAACAGGGGGTTAGAGACATGGTTCAGCAGCTAAAAGCGTTAGCTGCCCTTCGAGAGGACCCAGGTTCGAATCCCAGCACCCACATGATGGCTCAGAACTGTCTGTAAATCCAGCAGCAGGAGACCTGGCACCCTCCTCACACAGACATACATGCAGGCAAAACATCAATGCACATGAAAGCTTTTTGTTGAGACAGGGTTTCTATGTGTAGCCCTAGCTGTCCTGGAACTCACTCTGTAGACCAGGCTGGCCTTGAACTCAGAGATTCTCCTGCCGCTGCCTCTATAGCACTGAGATTAAAGGTGTGTACCACCACCACTGCCCAGCTATAAGTAAATCTTAAAAAAAAAAAAAAAAAAAAGAATGAAAGAAAGAAAAAGTTTTTTTCCAAAGTTCTGATATTTCCGATGGCTTCTCACCTGACTAAGCATTCACATTGCAAAAACATTTTTAAAAGATTTATTTTTACTTTATGTGCATTGCTATTATGCCTGCACGTATGTCTGTGTGAGGATGTCAGATGCCCTATAACTGCCATGTGGGTGCTGAGAATTGAACTCCAGTCCTCTGGAAGAACAAGCAGTCAGTGCTCTTAACCACTGAGCCTTTTTCTAGCCTCTGCAAAAACATTCTATCTTTTCTGTTTCCTGCCCCATCACAGACAACAGAAATCAGAATTCCAAAGCAAGAACATCTGAAACCCCACCACCTCGTGTTAAGAGACTAGAAAGCTGAAGTGGACTGCGGTAAGACACCAAAAGCCTTCGATGGGTCCTCTCAACAGGGGCTCCCTGGAAAGTCTCTGCCCTCTCAACACTGACCGAGCCCAATGCAACAAACCAGAAGTGTGCACAAGAAACTAATGGATGCGGGAGCCAAGGGGGCTTGCCGAAGCATGGAGAATCTGCTCGCGTGGTGCTTTAGGTTTTGAACACACAGTTAACTCTCCTTCAGCTCCGCCTTTTAATGCTCTGATTCTCAGAATGTGCCATTACTCTCGCCAAAACACAAGTACCCAGCAGCAAGGCACTAGTCCACAAGTTAGGAGGCGTGCCCTGAGCAACCAGGAGACAGGAGAAGCCTTTCCTGGAACCAAAGCTCATTTGCCGTAGGGAGATGAGGACACTTCGAAAAGCCCCGTTTTATTTCCTGGTGCTCTCATAAAACGTGCAGAACTGAGTTAGCCAACACTCCCTGAGGAGACCAAGCTGTGGTCCCGGCAGTGCGCAGAGGAGCAGCGAGTGTGCAGGTCACTCATGGATGAACAAGAAAAACACCAGGGAAGGGACACACACACACACACACACACACAGATGGAGTGCCCAAGAGCAGGACGACATCAGGAGTAGAGCAGACGCTAAGGAGACTAAAATGCACAATCTCAGGACAAGCTGCCTGGAGTGATTACCATGAGACTAAAATGCACAATCTCAGGACAAGCTGCCTGGAGTGATTACCATGAAATCCCATCTTAGGGCTGCGAATAAACACAAATGACTCCAACCAGCCTTGATTCCCCCGGGGACACTGACTCTGTTGGTTGTGATCCCCTTGTATAGTACAGGGGTCCATGGTGTTGAGCATCACTCACCATTAAGAATATCCTCAAAACCAATGGTCTCATCATTGCCCCGCAGAATATCCAGCGACAGGTTTGAGCTTGGAAGGAATGGAAGACGCTGAACCTGGGGGAGAAGAGAAAAGGCTGGCGTTAGAAAAATCGAGGGGAAAGGCAGACTGTGTGCCATAATCTCATGCTCTTCCACGCTTTATTTGAAAAAAATTTACAAAATTAAGTAAAACTGCAGTTTAGCCAGCGGGAAAAAAAGAATTCAATTTATGTGCAGACCAAGTTTTAAAGTGTGTTGGCATTGGAACAGTAACTTTTACTAACTTAACTAACCCTTTACGTCTGCCTGTGTTTATGATCACTAACTAACCCACCATGTCTGCCTGTGTTTATGACCACTAACTAATCCTTCATGTCTGCCTGTGTTTATGATCACTAACTAACCAACCATGTCTGCCTGTGTTTACGACCACTAACTAACCCACCATGTCTGCCTGTGTTTATGACCACTAACTAATCCTTCATGTCTACCCGTGTTTATGACCACTAACTAACCCTTCATGTCTGCCTGTGTTTTAGGGCATTGCTTCTGTTGGGAGCGGGGTCACACACTGTGTAACTGTTGTGGGATATTTGCACACCTTATGAAGATGTACTACTGTGATTGGTGTAATAAAGAGCTGAAGGGACAATAGCTCGGTAGGAGGCACAGGCAGGACTTTCAGACAGAGAGAGCTCTGAGAAGAAGAAAGGAGTCGCCAGCTGGACAAAGAGGAAGCAGGACATGCGGGAGGAGAGGTAAAAGCCATAAGTCACAGGGCAGTAGGTAGATGAACAGAAATGGGTTAATTTGTTATAAGAGCTAGTTAGAAATAAGCTAAGCTAAGGTCAAGCTTCCATAATTAATAAGAAGCCTCCATGTTGTTATCTGGGAGCTGGCTAGCAGGACAGAGAAAGACTCATCCCACGTGATGAAAAGCAAAGCAAACTCCCAGAGCGGAACACAACACCTCACTTGAGCACAGGGAGACCAGGTTTCTGAGGAGTCCCAGGTGAGCGAGCATCGCTCCACTGAGCAAAGGCCACCTCACTTCTATGCTGTTCTGCACTGCTTAGAATAAAGGGAAAACACAACCTTTTCAAATGCACTGGTAACCGACAATGCAGACCAAGCTCACTTATAAGGCTTTTAAATCAGTGTCCTTCAGCCAATGTAACCTCTTCTGCCAAGCCCTAAAGGCAGGTAAACTGGCAACCAAGTGAGGTATCAGCAAAGCACAGGCTGTGCAGGCAGAAACATCTGGATTCACATTCTGACTGTCACTGACACAACCACACAGTTTTGTGTAAGTCACCATCCGAGGGAGCAGACACAGACAGGGTGTGCTACACAGCCTGCACACGCAACTGCTACTACAGCCGGCGCTCAACACACTCAACCACACACAGCCTGCACACAGCAACCGCTGCCACAGTCAGCGCTCAACACACTCAACCACACACAGCCTGCACACGCAACTGCTACTACAGCCGGCGCTCAACACACTCAACCACACACAGCCTGCACACAGCAACCGCTGCCACAGCCGGTGCTCAACACACTCAACCACACACAGCCTGCACACGGCAACCGCTACTACAGCCGGTGCTCAACACAACCACACACAGCCTGCACACAGCAACCGCTACTACAGCCGGTGCTCAACACACTCAACCATGCACAGCCTGCACACAGCAACCGCTGCCACAGTCAGTGCCCAACACACTCAAATGTGACCAAACTCAGTTTTCAGTCCTGCTGCAGATCACTTAACACTTTACCAAGAGGATGAGGTGGCCAGCAACCGATGATGCTAGGACTGAAACCCCATCACCATCTGCAGAGACAGTTACGGGGAGACCCACCCTTGCCATTCAGAGTGAAGATACTATTCTCAATTGCCAATAGACTAAGGTCTTATTTGATCTTTACAATGTGAAAAACTTTCTCCAGTTGTCACTCAAAATCAAAAAAGAGGAAGCATGGAAAGGAAAGAAGGAAGAAGAAGAAACAGAAATAGAAACAGGAACCTATAAGTGGAGAATAGAGCAAAGGGTCTGGGAGACGGTTAAGTCAGGGACAACCGCGAAACAGCATCCAAAGCGGGGCTTGCAAAATACAAGCAAGGGACCAGGAAAACAAGGACCGGACCCTGAGCAAAGCTTTTTGACAAAACAGTAGTAAAAACTCAGGCCATCTATTTTACTAGCAATCTGTAACTTACATCAAGGCAGACAGAAAACAGGATGCTAACAGCTCTGTGGTAAACATTGTTCCGTGGAATCTTCAGGACAGCCCTGTGCTGTTCGCACTGTCTTTCCGTCTTACACCAACAAGGAACTGAGAGATGGCTCAGCAGTGAAGAGCATGGGCTGCTCTCCCGGGAAACCAGGTTCCCAGCACCGATATGGACGCTAAGAAGAGCTTGTAACTCAGTTCCCAGGGGATCTGGCCTCTGCAAACACTACACACATGGTGCATAGACATACATGCAAACACACATGTAAAATAAGACTAAATAAACCTGAAACAGCAACAAATGTGCTTCAGACTGTTACTCTTGAGTGTTTAGATCAGATGGTATAGCCTATACTCAGACTTGAGCCATTTCATTTAAAGCCACTTTAGAGCCTTATTCTGGTAAAGCAGTACTTAAAGTAGCTTCCAGAACCACCAGCCTATAAAGCCAAGACTCAAGGTTAGCTGGCAAGAGAGAGGAATCCACAGTACAGGAAACAAATGCAGGAAGGCCCAAAGCAGGAAGCAAGAAGCCAATCCATCAGGCAGCTGGGTTTCATCCAGAAGGCAAAGTGAGGAGCGTATCCAGTGAGATCTGCATTACAGGCCCTCGGGATGGAGAGCAGGGGCCGAGAGGAGCAGGGCGAGAATCGCTGCAGTAGAATACACAGGCCGAGTAAGGACCAGATGTCTGGGGGTGGGAGCGACAAGGCTCTGAGTGAGGCGACCATGGCTTATGCTCCAGTCTGCCTTAGGCAGAAGCCTATTCGCCCGTAAGTCATGAGCACTAAGGAGTTATTCTTCATGGGACCATGGGAATTCGAGGTGCTGGGTGGGCCTTCCACCAAGGACCAGGAGAACTTCTAAAAGTCAACAGGAAATGAGAAACGAAGAGGATAGGCAGAAAACAGTCAGGACCAGGAGAGCGGCACTAACAAAACCAGCACTTCAGCTAACAGACCAAAGGAACCACACACAGTGGGAAAAGGGTTTCGGAGAGGAAAGGGACATAGGCTTGAAGTCTGTGAGCATCATGGGAAAAAGGAAGGAGCTTTGTGTGTCTAATACTACAGTGTTCAAGTGAAACGGGCTGAGAAAATGTCTGCACTGTTCGGGAGCCACAGGCACAGAGGAAGAGGAAGCAAAGGTGTCCAGGACAGACAGGGAGTTGTTCCCGGAAGTAGTATGATGCGATGGAACCTAGAACACAGGCAGGGGACAGCTCGCACAGGCGGAAGGATGTGTGCACACAGCCACTCCTGAAGCAACAGGTTCACCCAGCTGTATATGGACAGAAACCTACAGAGGGCAGAGAAACAAAGGCCGACAGCTGTTTCCAGACACTGCATCTACAAATATGAAGACGCTCTCCTTTTAACAGCTCTGTCTCGGGCTGGAGAGATGGCTTAGCGGTTAAGAGCATTGCCTGCTCTTCCAAAAGTCCTGAGTTCAATTCCCAGCAACCACATGGTGGCTCACAACCATCTGTAATGAGGTCTGGTACCCTCTTCTGGCCTGCAGGCATACATGCAGACAGAATATTGTATACATAATAAATAAATAAATATTTTTTTTTAAAAAAAAAAAAACAGCTCTGTTTCTGTGAAGTAGGAAGCTACGTATAGAGAGCCTTCATGAAGACACCCACCTGCTGCACCGCCTTGAATTCCATCTGTAACTTCAGGGGAGCAAACAGTCCCTGGATGTTCCTCAGGGTGGAAAAGTTCATCTTGTCTTGGTTGAGCTGGAACTGGAGCAGAGAGAGCAACTCTGACCCGAGTGCTTGTTACGATGGCGCCAGAGCCGCTCTGAATACACCACGCTGACGACACTGAGGCTGAGCCCCTCCCACAACTGATATAAAGTGTACTCGCTAATTTGCCCTTGATAAATTTGGTAACGTTTATGTCTGTACAGCTGTGTGTGTGGTATACCTATGTGTTTGCGTAGATGTCAGTCTGCAAACGAGGGCAGAGGTCAACACCAGGCCTCTTTTCAATAGTTCCCCACCTTATTTTGTGAGACATGATTTCTTACTGAGCAGAGCTCACAGATTCAGCTGGGCTGGCCAGTGAGCTCTAGGAATCTGCCTGTCTCCACTCCCAGCAACGCCCTCCTCTGGTACCCAGAATGGAATCCCAAAGGTCTTCTAATGTGAACTCAAACCCACACCTCCTTCTATTTTTCTAGCAGAGGATAAAAAGAAAGTCATAGGTAAGATACTCACATTTTTTTCTGATAATTCAAGAGGATGGCTGGGCAGAAGTTCATTTTTCAAACAAGAAAACCTAAAGGGAGAAAAACAAAATATTTAACATAATTCACATCATTCTCCACCGCAGGGTAAGCTGCACGTGTAACTGGAGTTCCAGGCCAGGGGGTGGGCCCAGTGGGCAAGCAGTAGCAAGCAAGAGGGCTGGGGCACAATCCCCCCAACACCCTCAAAACTGTGACTACACAACAGGAGTGTGCATGGGAGCTCTCTGGAGGTGAGAACCTTGTTCTCAATGTGATGGTGCCGACCAGCACAAGAACAGAAGTCTTTGTTAAAACACAGAGAACTATGAATGAGAAGACAGCCAGATTAAAAACGTGTCTGCTACAGACAACGGTAATCAAGATTTCAGTTACTAGCGGGGGCTTTCCAGAGATGGATACTCACTCATGTCCTCTGTCTGTAACAAAGAATTGATAGGAATGCCACTGAAAGGCTATGGCGAGCTATCTTGACATATTTTTACCAATTACCTGTTTCCATTGAGTTTCATTTTTATTTTGATGTCTTTCCTAGATTCTCATGTAAATCTACTAATAAAAAAATTTAAATTGTTTTAAAAGCGTTTACTAAGCGTGTGTTTATTCTCCCTGCCACTTTGATGGGACCGTCTCCTAGGACAAAACAGCTAAGGCTCGTCAATACGAAGTGTGTCTTTTCTAAAGCTACGTCAAACCACATGCTTAAGGTACCCACAGCTGGATCCAGACCAGCGGTCACGGCCAAGCTAAGGACTGTCTAAGGCAATGTCTGGGGGCTGAAAGAAACCCTAGGCACTGGGTACTGTCTATGGACAGACGTCTTCGGAGAGGCAGACCACAAAATCAGCTGTTTGAATGCAGTCTTACTGGCTAATTGGGAAGAAAAGAAGTAACATTTGGTGTGGAAGGAAAAACTCACCAGGACTAGTTTGGCAACTAGCCTATTAATTTTCTTTAAAGATTTATTTAATCTGTGAGTGTCTGTCTGCATAAATGTATGATGTTCCCCCTGTGCCTGCCTGGTTCTCAGAGCCAGAGGAGTGTACCTGACGCCCATAAATGGAGTTACAGGCTATTAGGAGTAAGAACAAGTGCTCTTCCTGCTGAGCTGTCTCTCCAGCCCTCTGCCTAGTAATTTTATAACAAATCAAATTACACCTCCAACTCAAGACGCAATAGTCTACAAATCCCAAAGGGATTATGGACGTGCCCAGACCCAGCACCAGAACAGTATTTCATTGCAGAAAAAGTCAACATTCAAATTAAGATGTAAATTCCTTACAATTTATGGATGGGTATTTATGGGAAGCCCTATTGGTCTTGTGTGACTGAGCAGAAAAGGGATGTGCCAAGGACAGACTACTAGAAACATGTGTCTAAACACAAAAAAAATTACAGATGCAGGCACGACAGGGAGCTGGAAGAGAGAAACAGCAGCAGCCAACTCTCACTGCCTGGTAACAGCAGGTACCAGTTAGGTGTTTCCAGGGACAACTCCCACAGCAAGAGATGTGCTGTTAGTCCTGTCATGTCTGAGAACACAGTCAGTTTAACAACCTGTCAAGAGACACGCATCCAGGGGACAGGAGAGCTGGAACCCACGCCAGGCACCTGCAGCATATCACCCTTTCTCTCCTCCCTTTTATTTTTTGTTGAAAATAGACTTATTTCATACAATATATTCTGATCAATTCTGATCACCATTTCTCTTTCTCTAGATCCTCCCAGGCCCCCCTCACCTCCCCAACCACGCAAATCCACACCTTTTTTTCCTCATTAGAAAATAAACAGGTAAATAATAATAATAAAAATAAACAACCAGAATAGAACAAAAAACAAAGAGCCAAAGAAAAAGCATAAGGCACACACACAGTCACCGAGACACAAACATTTGTAAACACAGAAATCCCATAAAAACCAGAACCATAAGATATGAGCAAAAAGGCCTGTAAGGTTTGGAAGAAAAAAAAAAAAACCTCCAAAGTTACGAGTTTGTTTTGTTTTGGCTATTGCCCACTAGAGCCTGCCCGTAAGTGTGGTTTGTAGACGTACTCCTACTTCACTGAACAAAACTCCTTTCTCCTTTGCAAGAGGTTATCAATTGGAGGTAGCTTCTGGGTTAGGGATGCGGGGCTTTGTCTACTTCCTGTCTCAGCACTGGGACCCGATCTGGCTCCGACCTTGTGTGGGCTCTGCGCTTGCCAGCACGGTCTGTGTGAGTTCCTATGTGCGCCGGTTCTGCTCTGTAGAGAAGGCCTTGTTTCTCTGGTGTACATCGTACCTTCTTAAGAGAAACTTGGGTGTTAACGTGTGTGCACACAGCACACAGGTAATGCATAGGCAGGCGAAGTTGACATTAAGTGTCTCCTGTGTTGCCCTCCACCTTATATTCTGAGACAGGGTCTCTCACTGAACAACATATTGTTCAGTGAGATTGGCTAGGTTGACTTGGTTTTTATATGGGGGCCAGGGATCCAAACTCAAGCTACACTTGCCCAGTCTGGGGTCAATCATTTTAACTGCTACATTCTAGTGTATCCCATAGAAAAGTTAAGTATTCCAGCAGTTAGTAACATCAGGAGGTCAATGCCTCTCTGAGTTATGAGCAGCTAAGAATCCTACCAAATCAAGGGCCAGGGCAATCTATCTCAGTGGTGGAGCACTTACCTCCCACTGTATGGCATCTTGGGTCCAATCCCCAGGAAACCCCACAGAATCCTACCAATCATCCCACAGGGTACCATGCACTAGGGGGATGCCTTGCTCTTACTCTGATGAGATGCTTATCCCAATGCAAGGACCACACACAGGCCTCTTCCTCGCCACACTCCATCTGAGGAAGTCACTCACTAAAACCCAAACCCAACCTACATTTACAGCCTTTCAAAAAGACCCACACGAAGCACTTCCTCAGCGCAAGGCATAGCCACAACCCCCCCCACGTACCCTTTCCGGAGAAGATCGTGACTCTCGAAGGACCTGCTGGCTGAGAGCTCCGTAACTGGAATGCTGTCCTTCAGCTGCGACCCTAGTCCTCTGGCATTCTGCAACACAAAGTCAGCACAGCAGTTAAAAGACAGACACAGATAAAGGCTGTGTCCTCAAGGAGCCTGGGATCTACACAGATACAGCTGGAAGTAGTGGCAGCCATCACACAGGGTACCGTGAGTAATACCACATTTGGGGAAGGACTCTTGCTCCGACTTCTGAGTATGCCAATAGGGAAAGCATTTTATCAAAAAAATAACATAAAGACATGAGCATACGAACAAACTACAACCAGTTTGAGACGACCAACTAACATATTAATGAAGTGGCAAATTTCAAAGATGGATAGTGTGTGTGTGTGTCTCTCTCTCTCTCTCTCTCTCTCTCTCTCTCACACACACACACACACACACACACACACACAACACCTGAGTTCTGCCCTAAAATTGACAGTCATGGAAGGTTTATGGTAAGACCAATCAGACTCACTTCACTGGAAAGAGACCTCCCTTAGTTTAAAGCAATGTTTAACAAAAGGTAAAGGCCGAGGACAGATCTATGAACAACAATAAAAGACAAGGAGTTAAGGAGCTGGAGAGATGGCTCAGTGGTTAAGAGCACTGCCTGCTCTTCCAAAGGTACTGAGTTCAATTCCCAGCAACCACATGGTGGCTCACAACACATCTGTAATGAGATCTGGTGCCCTCTTCTGGCCTGCAGGCAGACACACAGAATATTGTATACATAATAAATAAATAAATAAGACAAGGAGTTAAGGCATGACACCTAGGAACATAAGTTCATAGGAACTAATGAGAAGGGGGGTTACTATAAGTAAAAATTAACGCAGCTAATTGAGATGTCGTGAAAGCTACAAGCAGCGCCTCTGGAACGGATACACTGTCACCTACAGCTAACATCACTATCTGCTCGGGTACAGAGAGGTGCTAGCCTGTGGGTAACCTGGTGTCTAACACTAGTCTCCAACCAACTATTCTGAGAACACAACTTTTTGATAGATTTCGTTCATGGGGGGTATGTCACTAGCACTCCCTGGGTCTTGCTTGAGCCTCACCAATTTTCCAATTCTGCATAGCAAAGTTTCCCTAAAAAATACAACCTTGGGGGCAGTGGTGGCACATGCCTTTAAGACGAACACTAGGGAGGCAGAGGCGGGCAGATCTCTGTGAGTTTGAGGCCAGTCTGATCTACAAGAGCTAGTTCCAGGACAGGCTCCAAAGCTACGGAGGAACTCTGTCTCAAAAAACAAAAACAGCCGGGCGGTGGTGGCGCACGCCTTTAATCCCAGCACTCGGGAGGCAGAGGCAGGCGGATCTCTGTGAGTTCGAGACCAGCCTGGTCTACAGAGCTAGTTCCAGGACAGGCTCCAAAGCCACAGAGAAACCCTGTCTCGAAAAACCAAAAAAAAAAAAAAAAAACAAAACAAAACAAACAAAAATCAAAACACAACCTCACCACCAAACTGCTAAAGACCTCTTTTATGCTTCATTAACACTAGCGAAACAAAGTCCAGGGTCCTGAATCCGCAAATCAAGAGCCTACACTGTGCCCATCCCTTCTCACAGGAAGCCATGGTGGATCAGGAAGAGAACCTATCACCTACTCTGTGGCTGTCAGGACCAGAACCATGTGATGCTTTCCCAATGCTAACTGACATCACCCCTCTACATTCCTCCTGCGGACTGCTTTACTGAAAAGTGATAATTAAGAGTTCTCTATGCACTCTAGTATTGCGGTCCCCATGTTTCCGATGTCCTGGAAAATATCAGGACTCCGTAAGGACTCCTAGTACAGTGTCGGATAAAAGTCAGTCTACAAAGATCTAAAACCATTCTCTTTACAACAGTCAGCGGTATTTGCTAACAAAAGCTTTCTGGGCGTGGTCAGGTGAGCGGCGAGGGGTGCTTGTATCAGCTCTGTGCCACGGTGACTCAGGAGTCTGCTCAAGGAGAAACAGAAAGTGGGAAAGGAGGAGAGGCCAGAAGGGGGAGAGAGGGAGTTCAAATACTAACCAATACAGACAAACTGCGCCCCAACTCATGACACGGGGAGAGATGTTTGTAAACCCAGGCTGAGTTGTATAAATGCGACCAGCGGTCGTGGGCTGGAGACTCCAGTCACCCCGAGGGAGAGGGAGAGTGGCGGTATAAACACCCACACAAGACTCGGCTTTCAGATGTGCCCTGTGCGTCCGCGCCACTACCGGGAAGGAGCGCGCAGGCCTGGGAGGCCCGGGAGACCGAAGCGCGCGGTCCTACGGGAAGCAGCACCACCCGAGAGCGTGCAGCCCGAGTCATGCCCACGATAGACTCCCTTCGGGAGCGCGCAGCCAGGATCATCCTCGAACCAGACACCCGCCGGGACCGCGCAGCCGTGATCGTGTCCGCGCCACCGACACCCGCCGCGATCACGGCCATTCGCGCTCACTCACCATCTTGGAAATCGCTCGGCACAAACCTCTAAACCCGCTACAGTCAGCCGGCCAAGCTGCTCACTTCCGTTTCCGGGGCCGAGCCCCCCATATCCGCCGGAAGTGCGTCCGTCCGGCCAGGAAGGAAAGAGGGCGTGGGAGGAGTAGGGAGTCTCTCTGTGCCGGGGCTCCCACGCTTGCGGTCCCGGGGGAGCGAGGGTCAAGGGTGCAGGTTGTGTGTGCGCTGGGCCTGGACTCGCGTGGACGGTTTTAGATAGGCGTGTGCAGATGCATAGACTATAGGCTATACAAAGAGGTCTGGGGCGCGATTTGCATGAAGTTCTGCTGATAAAGCAAAACTCGGACAAGAAGCTTTTACATTTTTATAAGTCGAAGATCCAAGGCTTGGTGTGTATGGGACTCCAAGAAAGGAGCAAGCTAACTTGGTCACTGAGCTACAACCGCAGGCGTACTCCAAGGGTTATGGTGTGGGTGTTATTAAACTTGGGGAGGAAGGGGGTCAGGTCTGGCCACCCGACCTCAATAAGCCAGATAAAAGCGGAAGGCAGAAAAAAAAAAAAAAAGAGGCTTAGTCAATGTGACCACACTGGGAAGACACAAAGGGTTGGAATCTCACTGGAACTAAATCCTTATTTCAATAAATGTATATGTGTGTGTGTGTAGCAATTTAAGTCAATGTCATCATAGTTAATATATATTAGGCTCTTATAGCTACATACATACTCTCATATCAACATACTGCATATCCAACATGAGTCATATTCCTACGTCTTTTCATTAAATTTAAGAATTTCTTAAAAATGCTTTGTTTGACTGGATGTGTGTATCATGTATGCGCTGGTTGCCCTCACTCCTTTGTGATGGTTTGCTGTATTTGATAACACAAGTCTGGGAATCTCCTGGACCTGGAGTTTTAGGTAGATGGTTGCAAGCCACCCTGAGGGTGCTGGGAACTGAAACAAGCCCTCTTTGCGAGCAGCAGGTGCTCCTAGTCACAGAGCCATCCCTCCATTTCCTTTGGCTCCCATTTCTAGAGTACAGTACTGCATGGAGGACAAGGGGAGAGTGAGGCAGCTGGTCACTTTGGTTCTGTGTGGGGGAGCATAGAGAGATGAACGCTCCTGTCCCTCTTGTTTTCATCTTGGTATTTTGCCTGGGACCGCCGCCCATGGGATGATACCTCCTCCATTCAGGGCACCTAAGTTTAGTTAAACTGTGGAGTTGGCCTCACAGGTATGCCCAGACTATGTCTCCTAGGTCAGTGGTTCTCAACTTTCCTGACCCCCAACCATAAAATTATTTTGTTGCTTTTTCATAGCTGTATTTTTGCTACTGTTGTGAATTGTAGTGTAGCTATCTGATATGTGACTCTCTCAATGGGGTTGTGATTGGGCTTCCTGGTTAAGAGCACTTGCTCCAGTTACAAAAGACCCAGGTTCATTTCCCGTCACCCCTGTCAGTGGCTCACAGCCACCTGTAACTCCAGCTCCGGGGATTAAATACTCTCTTATGGCCTTGGCAGGCACTGCACTTGGGTACACAGACAGATGCACATGAACAAAAATCAATTTTAAGATGGTTAACCATCACGATACCAGTATTGCTTTGATCCATGAGCTCTTTATTAAGTGTTCACTACACTGCATTTAAAATATCTATTTACATGTCGTCCCTCTAGGAAAATTCTAGCTTCTCATATGCATTAGGAAAACTCTTAAGAGCCTCTGAGTGATGCCATGGACTATATGGCACCCATCGCTGCTTGACAAGATCCCATTTCGACATTGCAGACCACGCTCCCCCTTTAATGATCCTCATTTCTCTTTGGGAGATTTTGAGCAGACTTTGGTAAAGGATAAAAGCGTGTACAACGTAGCCTCTCTAAACAAAATGGAACCAGGAATCCCATTGTGCCCTCCTAATTACACCAGGAACAGGAAAGTTGGCAATTTCCTAGGCACACCTGGTCCCAAGGATGAAATGTCTACAGTTCTGACCCTGACCCAGAGCCTGGGCCATTAAAGGCAAGAGTTCAGTTAATAGATGTAGAGAAACCAGGATGGCATGGCATAAGGCGAAAAGAGCAAGAGCTCAGGACCTTCCTTTCTTTTTTTTTTTTTGGGGGGGGGGGGTTCGAGAAAGCGTTATAAGGAGAACAGGCCCATATAGTAAGATTAAGGAAGAGATTACAGTATAGTAACTGCTCCCCAGAAGTCCTTTTCTCAAGGTCAGGCAGGCAGTCTGCTAAGGGTCTCCACTTCAGGGAAGTTTCTGCTTGCTAAAGCAGCCCTTCTCTTCATCTCTGGCAAGAGCAATTTAAGGGCCTTTCTTTAACAGTTGGTGCCTATTGTCAAGGCCAAGGTTAGTTTATTTCAGTCTCTGATTTCACCCGCCCCCTTTCTCCCAGTTAATCTTATGTGCAGTAAAAGGTACAGACTTTTTTCCACTGAATGCTGCTGGCAGTCATCCTGATTCACCCTCAGATTGTGTCCTTGTGGTAGCCCCCTCCATCCCCATCTCCTGTCCCCCACGCCCATCTCCCACCGACTCCACATATCCTCTTTGGGACCTGAACCACCCCAAAGCAGGTCTTTGACAGGTTGACCCTGTAGTTAAGAGCTACTCTTTCCAAAGATCAGCGTTCATGTTCTAGCACCCACCTGGAGGCTCACAAACATCAGTAACTCTAGTTCCAGAGGAGATGACGCCCTCTTTTGGCCACTACAGGCACTGCAAACATGGTGCAGACACACTTGCAGGCCAAATACCCAAACACAACTTCTTTTTAAAAAAATTGTTTAAATTATTTAAAAGTTGCAGTTTTAAGTATTGTCTGACTGGGTTGAACTGATTGGGAAGGAAAAGATACTAATGAAACCCTCCAGCTCACAGTAAAGCTGGGTATTGGGAAGAGGGCACCAGAAGATACAGAAGGGCAACAGAACGGAATACCTGCCACACAAATTATCCCATAACTTCAGAAACGGTATGGCCATGGCCGTGGCTATGGATAATACATTTTTCAATTCCCTTTTTCTTTCATTCTTAATCATTTTCAGTTAGCACACAAAGCATAGGTTTCATTGTGTCGTTTTTCACAGTATACAACTACTCTTTCTTCTTATTTGTGCTACCTCCCCCATCCCTCAGGCTTCTGTGGTGTATTGTTTTTTTTAGTTTCTTTTTTTATTAATTAATTTTACATTCTAGCCCCAGCTTCCCCTCTCTCTTCTCCTCCCAATCCCTCTCCCACCTCCCCTCCATCCCACCTTCCTCTGTATTTGCCCAGAAAGGGGCTGGCCTCCCATAGGCATCAGCAAAGGATGGCAGGCTGGCTCTTGGCAACCTATTTCTCGTGCTGGATTGGCTTGCCCAGTCTGAATACAGGGGGAGGTGCTTGTTCTTGTGGCAGCTTGATATGCCATGGTGTGTGGCATCCTCAAGCTAGCCACAAGGACCAGTATAAACTCTTGTTCAGGTACTTCTTGTCATAGTGTCCTCATAGCTTACTTTCTGATCATGGCTAGACATAACTTTTCCCCCTCCAGTTTCTTGTTTGCACGAGCAGGTCTTTACATACCCCACTACCAAACGAGCTAGTTCTTATCCTTTGGCTATCAGCTCAGTGATTCCTTACGTCATTGCCGTTACATGGTGGGCAGCACACAGGACCATTTTATTACATTGTATTTGGGAAGCACTGCGGTATTGGGAAGGCAGCTATGAACTCAGGGTCCTTGGGCTTATTTAATATGTCTGTGTTTCCTTACTTCTAGAATGAGACAATGGTAGCGTTTATCTCCACACTGTGGCTGCTGGCCTGCTGGCAGGGAGCCTCCAGCTTCGCTCCTCACCAAAGTGTGTAGTGTCTCCAAGCAATGGGCTCTTGTTGTCCAGTTGGTGACCAACCAAGAGATTGGCAAGTACATGAAATGTTTGAGGTGCATCTGGAACCTCCCTTTTAAACAATGCATAAAAACGTATCCCACACCTGGCCTTGGGGTTTTTGTTTAATGACTCATGGTTTTTAAGAGCCGCCTTATCCAGCCAATGCAGGATATCTCCAAATTCTTTGGGTTTTGTTGTTGTAATATGAGCGGTGGGGCTGCGTCCCACCACTCAGCTAGCTTTACCCGGAATAATTACACGGAAACTGTATTCTTTTAAACACTGCCTGGCCCATTAGTTTTAGCCTCTTAACCCATTTTTAATAATCTAGTAGCACCATGAGGTGCGCTTACCAGGAAAGATCTTAACCAGCATCTGTCTGGAGTGGGAGAACCATGGCGACTCCTTGATTCAGCTTCTTTCTCCCAGCATTCTGTTCTGTTTACTCCACCCACCTAAGGGTTGGCCTATCAAATGGGTCTAGGCAGTTTCTTTATTAATAAGAAATCACTCCCACATCATTTTGTTTTTGTTTTTTAAGCTTATACTCCCACTCCCCCCCTTTTCTTTTTATTTGGGTAACTTTTTTTTCCATTTACTTTACATACCAACTAGTTTCTCCTCCCTCCTCTCCTCCTGTCACCTCCCTTTTCCCATCTATCCCCCCCACTCCCCATCCACTCCTCCTCCATCTCCATTCAGAAAGGGACAAGCCTCCCTTGGGCTTTTTCAGCATCTAATGAGATGATCACATGTTTTTTTTTTCTTTTCAGTTTGTTTAGATGGTGGATCAAAACATTTTCACCCTAGTATTTTTTTCTCTGCTTTCATATTGCCTGTGCTCTGCCACCTCCCCCTTCCCCTTTTAGGCATTCCCACTCCAATGGCCCCATTCTGGCTTTCATGGACTCTACCAGTATTCTAGGTTAAACACACAAATCTTAAAACTCAAAACTCAGATCCACTGAGAGGATGTCTGTCTTTCTGGGCCTGGGTTACCTCACTCAGTATACAGTATTGTTAATTCCATACAGTTCAAATGCAGATTTCATAGCTTCATTTTTCTTCTCAGCTAGATAAAATTTCATTGTGCACATGTACCATGCTTTCATTATGCATTCATCATTGATGGATGGATTGCAGTCTGATTGCATTTCCTAACTACTGCAAGTAGAGCAGCAATAAGCACAGATGAGCAAATAGCTCTATAAGATACGGAGTCCTTTGGATGACTGCCCGATAATGGTAT